AGTGGGGCAGAAGAACAGCTGGAGCCTGTTCCCAGTGTGCGCATGCACAAAGCTGCCAGGAGAAGGGAACAGCTAAAGGACAGGGGTCGACCTGGGAGTCAGGCCACAGGTGGACGGTGAATGGCCCCTCCCAGAGGAAATAAAAGAGGAGCAAAAGGGGAGTGGAGTTTACAGGAGACAATTAGTTCAATTCATTCGGGTGAAGATCTGTTCCTAACTTCTTGCCAAGTATTTTCTTCTACAGCGTGGCGTTTGGAAGGTAATGGCCTGGCAGCTCTCCAAGCCTGATAATGTCTGTGGTTGTCAATTCACCCTTGAAAGACTGTTTGCCAGGACTTTGCTGGATGTGAATGAGAGGAATTCACATTAGCCTAATAAAAAGGGGTTTTGTTGGGACAAGGAATCTGCTCCGTGACTTTGGGAAGCCTAGGTCAGAAGACTGGCCTGAAAAAGGCTGAGGGAAGTTCTGACAATTGTTTGCCCAAAGAAGAAGCCTGCAAGGCTCTAAAAATAGTAAACTCTTAAGGGCAGCTGACTCTGACACTGGAAGATCCTGTCGCTCTTTGTTTGATCGCATGTTGGTTTGTCTGCTTCGCAGTCTCCCTATGTTTTAAATTTTTCTTGTGATCACTGCAAAAGGGCCGGTTTTTCCTTCATCCACATCAGAGTCTTGGTGCCTAGGCTTTATTCCTCTCCTCCCCCCTTCCAGATGGGTGAGCAAAACCGCTCTAGACTGTAATTGGTCCTTGGTGGATTCCTGCTGAAATGTCTACAAGAACCTTGAAAAATTATCTCCCCCAAACAAAATTGGTCCATTTTTATATCCAGCAGGAGGCTTATCTTCAAACCTCCCTGTAACCTGGAAGAGAGAATTAACTGAGGGCTCAGATTAGATTAGATTAGATTAACAGAATTGGAAGGGACCTTGTAGCTAATCTAGTCCAACTCCCCACCCAAACGGGAGACCGTCCCCCATTTCTGACAAATGGCAGTCCAATCTTTTCTTGAAAGCCTCTAGGGATGAAGCCCCCACAACTTCCAAAGGCAACTTCTGTTCTGTTGGTTGATTGTCAAAAAATTCCTCCTTATTTCTAGGTTGAATCTGTCCTTGATCAGTTTCCATCCATTATTCCTTGTCTGGCCTTTGGGGGCTTCTTTGACCCCTTTTTCAAACCAGTGGTCCTCTGTCCAAAGTTCACACGGGACCTGAAGAGTCCTTCCTCAACAGAGTGGGGGAGGGATATGACACCATCTATCTCCAGTCTACAACACAGGAGTCCTTTTAACAGTTCCAAAAAGGCTCCACATCCATTTGCACTATTCAGGTGACCTTGAGGACACAGACAAACCTCCAAGTGGCCTCAATGACCCTCTAAAAGGATGCCAATGACCAGCTGTCTGCAAGAAGTATAAATCCTTCCATTCCCCACCATCCAGTCAGAGCTGAAGAAGCTTCTGGGATGAGAAGCGAAATGTCTTCAAAGAAAAAAACCAGAAAGACCAGTTGAAAAAGCACCTTTGGGAGTTTAGTGCTGCCTAACATAAGAAAGTAAAGACTCTTGAAACAGATTATTTCAAAAGGAACCTTTAATTAAGAAGAATGGAAACCATTA